CTGCTGTGTCACTTGCTGTGTGGCCCTGCCTTTGCCCGTGTCACCCCTTTGGGGAGTTAGAAACACACCAGGGAGTGTTTGGAAGAATTTAAACGTTGACGGGGGGAAAAACTTATTACCGGAAGTGAAAGGTTGGCATGAGCTACACAGGTATTTTTCTTCTTCTTCTTTTTTTTTTTTTTTCCTTGTTACCATAACCATTATCAGACCTGAAAATATTTATCCTAGTGATTGTCCCAGTCCTGGGGAGATGGTGTTCCTGAACGGCCCCCTTGTTTGGCATAGTGTGGATCTGACCCCTTGGAGACCCAGGGGGCACTAACGAAAGCTCACCGTGGCGGAGCGCCTACAGTGCACAGATCCTGTACCCGCCGATGATTTCTCCTGCGAAGCAAGCCTTATTCCCAAGTTACAGAGGAAAACAACCGAGGCCGGTGAGGGGAAGTCATTCTCCTGAGGTCATGCTGTTGATATGTGGAGTCTGGTTTAGAATTTTATCTGTTTGGTGAAAAAAACCAGTGACTTTCAACCACTGCGCTATTCCAAAGGATCCAGCACTGAGAGACCAGAACTGAGAGCACCTTCTCTTGGCTTCTCTCCTTTTTGGTGTCTCCCTGGAGGCGACGTTGTGGAGTTGGGATGTCGGTGGTAAAAGGGAATGAGGAGGCCTGAATGGAATTCCGGTTTTTCCCCTTTTCAATGCGTGTGTTACCTGAAGTCTAGTTTCAGTTACAAGATGTACTTTTTGAAAGAATTCATAAGACACAAATGTGGCAGCCGGCTGACAGCAGAAAGACCCCCCCCCCGGCCCCCCATCAGAGGCCCAGTTGGCACAGAGGAGCCAGTATGCTAAAAGCCATGAGGCTGGGGGCAGAACCCGTAGAGTGAGTGTGAACGCTGGTTGCGGGCAGACCCTCTGTGCCCCAGAAGCAGAGTCCTACTTAGCACCCCCTGGCTGCATGTGGGGCCCAGAGAAAACCGCTCGCTCACGTCCCCTCTCTCCTGTTTATGTCACTGAAGTGGAGGTCACGTGGCCTTAACCCTGTTTCCTGGGGAAATCAGCCTGGCCTGTGATTACATTGTCTTCTGGAACTGGGACAGATGTGGAAGGCTGACCTCAGCCCCAACTGAAGGTCACCTTCCCAGCCTCTCCCGCTGCTTCCGTATCACCAGGCCTCCACCGCTTGGCCCTGTGCAGCGTCCTCAGCCCTGCATACCAGACATCTTCTGGTATGATGGCCCCTATTCCGTTTGTCATTGTTCCCCAGAGATGGCCCATTTCCTGCTTGCATCTGGGCTCTTCAGTCCATCCAGGGGAGCAGAACTGAGGGGTGCCGTGTTTGTTGAAGGTGCCCGGGACTTCAGCCCAGACCCTCCTCCGGGAACGGGGCACCAGGGCCTCTGAGACGAGGACTGCCTTTCTTGGCTGCTGGGGTGTTGTAGCTGGCTTGCCAAAATTCTCCTTTCTCTTGTCAACTCCCCCAGATCTCCCAGAAGCTCTTTCCCCCGAAGTAAGAAATCAGGATGTAAAGCATTTTTATAAAGCTGGAATTCATTGTCATCTGTTTCCGCCTCTCTAGAAGAGTGATCTAGTAAAAGCCTGAGTTCCCGGCTGACATCTCCAGTGATGGGGTTCACGGGAGGGCCTGTGGGTACTTGGCTCTTCCAACTTTACCAGCTTGAGGCTCTCCTTTGTTAACACGGCATTGTCACATAGTCTGTGCATGAGACGGTCCACTTCAGTCATGATGACGACTGTCTAGAATGTAATCGTGTGAATGCCCAGTAGTCTGTGCAGTTACTCTCCTTGGTTGGGCATTTGGGGCTCTTTCCTATTGTTTTCTCTTTCAAAGTCCTGCTGAGAACATCTTTGTAGACGTGACTTGTGTGGAAAGGAGGGAGGACATGGGGACGTATTTCTGCAATTGGACGGGGACAGAAGGAGAGAAACTGCTTTGGTGAAGCCCTTTGCCCCCTCTGGCGAGCGTACTTTCTGGAAGACCAGGGAGGGCAGTGATGCCCTCAGCTGCCATGGCTGGGAGCAGCTTGGAGACTCCAGTTCTGTTTTGTGTTTCAGACCATCACTCCCCGCCCCCCCCCCCCATGCCTTTGTTCTTTTGATTTGTATTTATATCTTTTATCTGTCCCGGGACCTTCAATGACTTTCATGTTTTATGAGTTCTTAGCTTCCTGGGGTCCAGCCTCTGATGGCCACTGATGGCCGAATCAGAGTGCTTAGGGCCACACCGTCTCAGCCAGTCAGGTTGGGTTAGTGACATTCCTTTTTCTATTTCAGAGAGCTGTTTATCTTCCATTATATCTTTCTAACCACACAAATCCTGCATACACATATTTCAAACAGTACCAAAAAATGAGCCTGCCTTCACTGTCTTTTCTGTCTCCTCGGTAACCATTGGGATGGATTCATGTGTCTTCCAGGATATTGTTCTGTGTATATACTTGTGTATGGAAAGACACAATTTTGAGTATTTTTCTTTATTGTTTCATCAGTTTCTTTGACACATTTTTTTGTGCTCAGAGTTAAATCCTATTTGATGTGAAAACAACTGAAGAAGATAGCCATGTAGGATATTGAAGTGCCTTTTAAAAATTTTTTCAAGTATAACGTACTCATGTTGATGATACGTTTAAAAGTAGAAAAATCCGAAAAGTCCCCCAACTTTCCCTGAGACAACAAAGATTATTTGTTTCCTGTATCTTTATATACGCAGTTTGTGTATACAATGCAACACTTGCTTATCCTCTCTAGTTTATAAAGTTTATTTCTTGCTTACAGTTGAGTGTGTGTGCACAGGCTCGCGGGCTCAGTTGGTTCAATAAATTACCTTGTACTTTCCTACCTCCCAAGATGGAATTTTGAGAAAGGTCTGTTGCATTTCCATCTTTGGAAGCCGCTTTATTGTGGGTTTTTTTTGTTCTTAGTGCCACATATACCCACGTGGGTCAGGATCAGCCACATGTACACGGGCCGGGTGTGGTGGCACCCCTCTCCCTGATACAACCCCCCCAGGTTTGGACGCATCTATTGCAAGTACCTGCGATTGAAGACATGGTCAAGGTGCAGTTGGAGGTTGGGTGAGGGGGCTGGCTGTCCTCTGAATCAATGCTCACCTGGCTGCCCCCCCTGGTGCTGGCACCTAGGCACAGAATCCGAGACGTTCTGAGGAGTAAAAACAACGTGTTGGAGAAAAATGAAAGAAGTCTGTCTTTTCTGGTTGCTGGTCCTCAAGGGTGGCCTGCTTTAGGAGTTGGCTGACCTGGGTTCTTGTGCACCTCTGTCTCCAGCTTACCAAGTTGTGCTGTCTGCTCTCAGATGGCTCGGAAAGGGGACGAGGGGACTGATCTCTAGGTTCCTTTCACTCATTGTGCGTGACCAAAATGCTGAGCTAATAAAGTGCCCTGTGAGGCATTGTCATTTTGGCAGCCTTTCTGGCTCTTCCCCCAGACTCTAGTTGATTTTAATTTCTTTTCCATCGAGAAGGCTTTAAATTTACTTTTATTCAGATTAGTATGCATACACACACACGGAGATATAATTTATAGGATGATTATGAGCAAACACCCATCCAGCCATCACTTGTCCCTTCCTGACCCCTGGCCCCCGTCAGCGTTCCAGGAGCGCTCGCCTGCCTTCCCGTCAGCACCCCTCCGAGGAGCTGCCGGCCCATCTGGGCCATCAACATCTCTCCTCGCTTCTGTTTGTAGTTGTATCTGCAACACTTACGTTCCTAAACAGGAACAACATCATCGAGTTTTTCCTACTTTCCACTTTTACGGTCGTATACCGCCGGCATACTTTTGCAACTTACTTCTTTTGCATAACATTGTTGTGAAATTCGTTTATGTTCTGGGTGGGTAACGTTTGTCCGTCTCCTTGCAGCGGTTCACGCGTTTTACCGTCACCGGGTATGTGGGTTTGTCCCATTTTCCGCTCTTTCGAAGAGGGTCACGACCATCCTCGCCTTGTGGTGCAGATGTGTGTATACTCTGAGTAACCCCAGTTGCGTTAGAGAATACCAAGTGTGACCTTCTGGTGTGCCCTGATGCGTACGTGTCTCACGCAGCTTGATTTAGCTTCATGTTTACTTGATCCTAATTCTTCGTGACACCTGCTGTTCCCCAGGCCTCTGCTGTATTCCCAGGAGGAGGTAGATCCATTATCACTCTGGCTCTACACTGAGCCTGCAGGCCACAGTGCATTGCTGCGCTTCCCAGAAGGCTTCTGGAAATATCTGACACTGTCATTAATGTCCTGTGTTACTTCAAAAGTAATGTCAAGCGGGAGAGGAGACGAAGCTGCCGTCTAGATGTCCGCGTGAGTCTTCCTTGGCAAAGCTATCCTTGGGGGCACAGATCTGGGTGTCGCTTTGTTTTCTTATTTGGTCTGTGTCTTTCGAAAATGTCATTTCCCCTCAGGTCAGCCTTTCCCAAAAGGAACGAGGGAGATATGACGGGACAGCAGAGTAGAACATGCCTCCCTGGCGGCCCAGACCGTGGTCTCCCGGCCTTTCCTCCCCCATGGCAGCATCTTTGGGTTCCCAGGATCAAGCCGGCCGCTCTCCACCATTGCTGGCTCAAATTGAGAACTGGGGGGCCAAACTGGTCCCGTGCCAAGAGGAGACTGGGCTGGCTGATAAGATTGGAGAAACCTGTGTGTGAATCTTCTGGGCCGGGGGTTGGCGGACTTCGTGAAGGGCCAGGCAGTGAACATTTTAGGCTTTGCAGGCCTAGAGGCAAAAGTGAGGGTCTTATATAGGTGCTTACCTAATAAGAGAGAAAATAAATTTCCACAAGTTTTTTATTAACAAAGTTCAAAATATCGTATCTCTGGAGTAAAACCCTTTGGTAACGCTCGTCTCTTAATCAGAAGAGGGGAATTCTTTTGGGGGAGATTTCTTCCTTGGGATTCAAAACTAGTGTTCCCCTCCACCTCATTGTCCTGTCGAGTGGAAACATTCACCTGTGCAGATCCTTAGCACATGGCCGCGCAAAAACCGGCCCCCCCGGTAGGTGCCCACCTGCCCCAGGCTCATCTCCTCAGACAGACTGTGGACTTGGCCTCCACCATCCAGCATCAGGACGTAGGTGCCTCTGAGCCAGGATGGACTTCCCTGTAGGCTCTGGGGACAAACACTACCTCAGCCCTCCAGAGGGAGAAGAGCTGTCACACGGTCACATCTGTGCGCTGCCCATGGGGGAAGGAGGGAGAGGCCCCCCTCGATGAAGCCAGGGGCTCCGGAACGTTAGGGGATGGTGCACGGAGGGGTCTGCAGGAACAGAGGAAGAGCAGACAGGGGCGGCGTGTTTAGACCCGGTCAGTATGTTGTATGTGGCTACGGCTCTGGAGAAAGGTGGCGAGACAGGAGCTGGATTTTTTACTTGACTAAATTGTAGTTTATCTTCCATATTCCTGTGCGGCTGCCCTGTTGGACAGCACAGGTGTGAAGAAGGAAAAGAGTGAATGGTGTTGTGTCCCCTCCTGGGAGGGCTCCCCTCACGCCCCCTGCACCCTCCCGGGAGGGAGGTGCCGCGGAGACCACGGGGAGCTGCTCGCAGGAATGAACCAGAACCCTGGCCCTTCATGCAAGGGTCCAAGGGATCAAAGGAGGCGCTTTTAGAATGGTTGGAAACCGTTGTTTATTTTCCTCTAAAATATCTTGAGACACATCTCTACAGTCTTGTTTATGTGATAAATTCACTCTGTGAAACATGTTTTATAAACTGAGGGTCAGCTGCAGTGTAGGCCCTCAGGATTAATGGGGTCTGGCCAGGCGTTAGCTGTTGTGCCGGCCCCGCCTAGGTCCGTAGTGGCTGTTCAGCTTTTGCCTGTGTTTATAGTGTTTACACACACATTCTGACCAAGGTGGCCGTTCTTTTTCCTTCTCTTTAGCTCGGGTAGTTTTGGGGAGGGCGGGTGTGGGGGAGCGCCCCCGTTAGGGATCTCAGCCCGATTGGTGGACCCCTTCGGTTCCTTGAGGCTCTCCAGTTTTGCTATTTTGTTGTTTCAGGTTTCCCGGTGCTGTTTTTATTTATAATTGACGGAAGACTATTTCTAGCACTCAGTCTTAATCATTCCGACTTCTGCCCAAGCTTAATCTTAATTATCTGTAAATATGTTCCGTAATGAAGGGTGTGGTTTTGAGTGGGGAGGTAATTGCTTTTCTCTCTTGCAGTTTTAATTTAAAATTACCTCTCCGCCTACCTTACCTTTCTTTCCAGGCTCTTCTTAACAGACTGTAGAAAAGCAGCGGTTACCGTTTATCCACTCTTCCCCTGAGTTCAGGAAACAGCACATCCCCTTTAATAACAGAGGTAGAATATTCCATATGGTGGCCTATTTTTACAAGACTTTTATGCAGGAAAAGATCAGGGAGGGGTGTGCCCCACAGGACGACGTGGGAGGAAACTTGCCAGCGTTGAGCAGTGTTATGAAGCCTATTTCATCTGTGGTCGGCCTTCCGCACTGAGGTGTATAGGGCTAGTCTGGTCCACAGTTTTCTTGGCACAATTGAGCAAAAGCCCTGTGGACAGGAGATTGTTCTGTCATTTGTGGGAGTGCCAGAGCCTGGAGAGCTGAACTCAGTTGAGGAGGCCGAATAGATCTCCCTGGGCACACACTGACTTTTCCAGAATGTCTGCTGCCCTGTACCAGTCCCGTATGGCTTCCTAATCATGGGTCCCAGCCGGGCCCTTCCTTGTTGGGTATCCGTTCCCTGAGTCTCCTTCCTGCCTGCTCAGACCCATTGTTCCCACTGTGGCTTGAGTGACCTTCAAGTACAGCTCTCCATTCCCCCCTGCCTGAGAACCTTCGGTAGCTGCCCACTGTCTGCAGGCTCAGCCGGATACCCTTGCCAGCCTCTGTGTCCCTGCCTGCCTTTCTGGTCTCACGGTCACGGACGGAGCTGCTCTCTGAGTCCCGTCCCGTGTCAGCTTTGTGCGGGGCACCGGGGACAGAGCGGAGAGCGTCCTGCCCTCACGGGAGATCTCTGAAAAAGGTAACAAGAAACATAAAATTAATCGTATTAATATCTTCTTTAACCTAACATGTCCAAAATATTATCATTTGACTGTGTGGCGCTGGCCGTATTTCCAGGCTCAGTGGACACGTGCTGTTGTAGGTACATTGGCTAGGAAGTGCGGGTCTTGAGGTGAGCGGCACAAATGGAAAAGCAGTTGGAAAAGTGAGAGTCCTGGGCTTCTGGCTTTGTGTTTCTCTAGGGCATTATCCTGCTACATTGTGAACTCCATGCAGGCATGGGCGTGGCCTTGTTTTGCTCACCTGTTGTGTCTGGGACACCTCGCTTAGTACTTAGCACATAGTAGGTCCTCACTAAATTTCATCAGGCGAACTATTGAGTAAGCACAGGGTTACGGGAAAAGTCTGGGTGAGTACCTAACCTGTCTGAGGAGGCTTTCAGGAGGAGGACCTGCCTCCAAGTCAACTCGCAAAGCCGGGGTAAAACTAAGGGGTCAAGAGGAGGCAGGGAAGAGCACACAGTGTCAGAAATAAAGAGGAGGAAGAAGGTCGGGAGGGGCTGCAGGAGTTCGTTGGGACGGAACTTCAGGTGCGCTTGGGGCAGGGGTCCGGAGACGACGCTGGAGAAGTAATGGGGGCCAGATCGTGAGGAGGTTTTAAAGCTGCTACGGAGTCGAGGCCTCATACTGGGGACGTGCGGAAATAGCGCCAGCGTCGTGGGCTGGGAGTGGCCCCTCGGACTCGTGTTCCGCGTTTCTCTCCTGTGTTTTCTCCATTCACTCCTCCTCCCAGCCCGCAGAAAGGGCTTCGTGAGAATATTGGCTGACTTCTGTTACCGTGTAGGCTAACCGGGCTGGGGGGCTGCCTTCTGCTGTCTGTGGGAAGCTTCAGGAGGAGGAGCAGGCTTAATTATTTGAGTGCCGTCGCGATTCCCGACCGAATTCTCTCCAAGTGCTGGAGTAGATGTCGATTAGATCGAATGTGTTTTTCAGTCATGGCCCTTCACGTGGGGGTCGGGACCTTCCACAGCTGTGATGAGTGCACTGAACTGTCGTACTCTCTGACATGCGGTCGATAAAGCTTTGGGAGCCAGTGTTTCTAACCAGCCCTGAGCAGATCCATCCCATCTTCTTGTGGCCCCTGGTAGAACCCAATAGGTTGGTGCACACGCTGGAGGGCACTGCCTGCTGGGTGGCAGACTGGGGAGTAGAAAGTGATGAGTCTTCGGGAGAGAGTTCACTGGTTATGTACTTTTTCCAAATCCCTTTTCACATCTCAAGGGAAGGTCTGGAACGGATGAGAGATGACCTAGGAAAATAAGAGCTAGTTCTCTACGAGAAATTTCGACATCTTTGTGGCCGTTCATGCCTACCTCTTCCTCCAGTATGTCAGAAGATAATGCTTTTTAAAATACAACTTCTCGGGGCGCCTGGGTGGCTCAGTCGGTTGAGCGTCTGACTTCAGCTCAGGTCATGATCTCGCAGTTTGTGAGTTCGAGCCCCGCGTCGGGCTGTGTGCTGACAGTTCAGAGCCTGGAGCCCGCTTTGGGTTCTGTGTCTCCCTCTCTCTGCCCCTCCCCTGCTCACACTGTTCCCTCCCACCCCCCAAATAAATCAAACATTTAAAAACTAAAATACAGTTTCTCTTTTTATTGTAACCACTCTGTCAACTGCTGCCTGGTGATCATTTTTCTATTTAGTAATTGTCAGCACCAATCACATCTGTTCTTAGCCTCTGCTAAAACAGTCCTTGTTGCTTTCGAATAGGACTTAGGATGCTGATATGGAAGGTGATTCAGGAAGCCTGGCAGGGAAGGACTGTGCTGTTGCTCTGAGGCTGTGTGCTCTGTTTCTGATGACAGTCTGTTGCAGGGTTTTGTGATTAAATCTCACGATGAGTAATAATAACGTCATCGAGTGTGTACCAGATTTGGGGCTCAGCACTTGCCCTGGAGTTCTTAGTTTCTTTACGGTAACCTGCGTGATGGGTGTCACTATCCCAGGTTACAGATGCTCTCTTCCGCCTGTCACCACTGAAAGTGACACGTTGCTCTTCTGGGGTGTTCAGTTGGGTTAAAGGGAAATTTGACGCCTGTGCCTTTTGTGAAAGTAGAGCTGTAATTCAGACTCCTGATTTGATCAGTCACTGAGCAGGTATTCCGTGAGCACTTACTACGTGCTAGGCGTTGTAAGGGCCGCATGCTACCGCCGTGTAGTGGTTGGTCTGTTAAGGTGTGAAAGCAAATGGAGAGTCATAGAGGAATATTAAAGACTTAGGTGTGTCTAATTAATCGTTCAACCCGGCAAAGTAGGAATTGTTATCCCTGGTTCTGGAAGAGAAATCTAGGCTAGAAAAGGGTTAGGCAGAACATGCCTTCCAACCCCAGACAAATTCCTGTCTGGGTCTTTCCAAATCCAGAGTGGGTTTGCCTCCCACCAGACCGCGCTGCCTCTGAGTGGGGGGGCGGTCTGGCCTGCGCGTTGGCGGTCTTGCCAGGGTGGGGACACACTTGTGACTGATCTGCCTCCCCGCCCCCCGTCGCTCCTCCCCCTGCTCCCTGTCCTTGGCCTGTGTCCGGAAGGAGCCCCTGGCAGGCTCCCGAGCCTTGCTTGTTCACAGGGAGGATTGAGGCTTAGTGGGAGTGGAGTTGGTCCGGGTTAACTCTTAACTCGTATGGGGATGACCATACTCAGTCTTCACACTGAGCCGCACGCTGGGGCTTTGTGCCACGGAAACAGTTCCGCAGGGGCCTCCAGAGTGGCTCTCACAAGGCCATTCTCTGATAGTCGTGATCTGAGCTCAAACACGTTTTAATTATATACTTCTCTATGTTTTAGGCTTTGGACGTGGACCGGATGGTTCTTTACAAAATGAAGAAATCCGTGAAAGCAATAAATATCTCTGGGCTGGGTGAGTACACATCCTTTCCTAGCGGTTTCCTTGTGCAAATCCTCACGGTAGCAGTACTGGTGCCATGATGGTGATCACCATTGACAAAACCAAACCTTTTCTTCTAGGCGTGTGCATTATCAAGTTGATTTGGGATATTTAGCTTTTAGGAGTGTGTTTTGTTCTGTAAATTGTCTGATCTGGCCTGGTGGTTCACCTTCCACCCCCAGCTATCTCCTGCACTGCCTCCTGTTCCCTGAAGTGCAGCTGGGTTTTCCGTCCTGCATGAGCTACCGTCCTACATGAACCAGCTTTGTCTGACTGGTCAGCAGGAACGCCGGCCTCATTCCAGCCTCGGTTGTGTGGTCTGTGTGTTACTCATGTCAACGTGGCCCCTCCATTTCTCTTCTCCAGTCCTCGCCCTTCTTGTTTCGGATACCGTTAACGTAAAAGCACAATCAACTGCTCCAAGTAACGTCTGATCAGGACTAAAACTTTTTTTGAACCGTGAGTTCATGACCTGAGCTGAGATCAAGAGTCAGATGCTTAACCGGCTGAGCCACCCAGGTGCCCTGGAAATAATTTTAAGTCATTAAGTGACAATGTGGTTTCCCCCAGAAACAAGCAAGTGGCAGCCTTGGAGGACTGGGGGTTGTGAGGGCTCCCAGAGAGGCTGAGCGAGGTGATGGATTGCAGACAGCACGGCTGGCCTGTGGGCGAGCACACCAGTGCCAAGTGGGGCAGAAACACTGCCTTTGTCCGCGGCTGGTGGCCTGGGAGGAGGGGCTGAGGGGGCCCAGGGTCTGCACCTACAGAAGCAGTCAGCCCATGGATGGCTGTACATCGTCCCCTTCCCCCTCGTGGTGTTTCCCTTTACGACAGTAGTGAATGGAGTAGGAGGACAGGGAATGCCAGAGGGCTAAGAGGAAGGAGGGGCGCAGAAGGGTCTGGAAGTGCCTCTTGCACCCAAGCCTGCCCCCACCCACGTCCGGCCATTGTGAGCACCACCTCCAGTAACTGCTTTCGCCCCCCTCAGGGAGGGCAGTGCAAGCCAAGATTGAGAAGAGGCCAGTAGGGAACCTCAGCTGCAAAGATGATATTGTAGTCAAGAATTGCAAAGGACGTTTAGGAACAGATTTCACAAAAGACAGGCAAGAACTATGTTGAAAACCACAAAACCGAATTAAAGACCCAGATAAACGGGAGAGGTGTATGATGTACCTGGGTTGGAGGACTCGATATAGTTACTTTGTCTTTTCTCCCCAAATTGATCTCAAGATGCAGCACAATCCTAATCAAAATTCCTGCAGGAGAAATTGACAAGCTGATTCTAAACTTTATGTGGAAACACACACAGGACCCAGAAAATGCCAAGCAATCAGGGTACAAAAACAGGTTGGAGAATTTCAACCATCTGACTTCAAGTCTTGTGAGATAGTCGTGATCTAGACAGTGTTGCTGTTGCCAACTGTTGGGGGGCCAACAAAGAGATCAGTGGAACAAAAGACAAAGTGTAGGGGTGCCTGGCCGGGTCAGTCTGTAGAGCATGTGACCCTTGATCTCGAGGTTGTGGGTTCAAGCCTCACGTTGGTTGTAGAGATTACTTAAAAATAAAATCTTAAGAAAAAAAAAAAAAAGCCTGGAAGTAGACCCTTACTGAGATGTTTCTGCTTGTCAGCATGTTGCCAAGGAAGTCCCCTGGGGAAATGAAGGTGTTTTTAGCACGTGGTGCTTGAGCATCTGGATCTTTCCATCAGAACAAATGCAGTACAGCCCTCTCTTCTACCCTACACAAACAGTAATTCAAAGTGGATGATAGATTCACCTGTGAAAACTAAAACTAAAAGTTGTTTAAAGAACACATAGGAGAACATTTTTACAACATGGGGTGGGCAAGGCTCCTTGGATAGGACACAGAAGGCAATATGGCTTCAAAGAAAAAAATTGATAAATTGAACTTCATCAAAATGAGACACTCCTACGTGCTCAAAAATGCTATTAAGAATAACCTAACATTTGACAGGCCCCCAATCAAGCAACTGAAGAGCTCACACTTGAGGAAACTAAATTAGAACAGGACTTTAAAATAAGAGTATATGATTAACACCCTTAGAAAGGCAAAGGAGGTTATTAAGTTACCGAAACAGAAAAGGTACTAGTGAAAAAGAACGAGCGGAAGGCTTGGAAGTAGAAAAACATGTAATTGTTGAAATAAAAACTAAAATCTGCTAAATATTTAGCAGGCTGTACACATAGGAAAGGGGGAGGGTGGTCTGTGAGGCCCCCTGTTGCCGGAACATGAGCTTGAGGGATGGACACTGTAAAGTAAAACTCAGGAGCCACAGGAAATAGATTCAGAGGGGTCACTATCAGCATCCACCCAAAAGGACTTCCAGAAGAGGGAGGAGAAAATGGAGAAGTGGGGGCACCTGGGTGGCTCAGTGGTTGGGCATCTGACTTTGGCTCAGGTCGTGATCTTGTGATTTGTGGGTTCCGGCCCCCCTTTGGGCTCTGTGCTGGCAGCTCAGAGCCTGCTTCAGATCCTCTGTCCTCCTCTCTCTCTACCCCTTCCCTACTTGTGTGTGCACGTTCTCTCTCTCTCTCTCTCTCTCTCTCTCTCTCTCTTTCAAAAATAAATAATGAAAAAAAATAAAAAGGGAAATTTTTGAAAAAGTAATAGCTGAAAAATTCTCAGAACTAAAGAAAGATTTAAGATCTCAGATTGAGAGAGTCCACTGAAATTCTAAGGGAAACAGATTATACACACATGTATGTGTACCTACAGTGTATATGGTATGTATGTGTGTACATATGTCCCTGTGCATGTATATATATAAAAAAGATTTGGGGGAAATTTGCTAAAAAATGATTGCTTTAGCATTTTGACTTTATAGATATTTTTCCTCCTTTCACTTTCCATATTTCATATATTGTAATGTATTGATGTTAAAATGATTAGACAGGTATTAAGTTGTTTATGGCTAAATTCCAAATGGATGTGAAAGAAATTCAAGAAAGCAAAGAAGAGGTGGGAGGGACTTAAGTGGTTTGTGACTGAGCTTGTCCTGACTGAATTCGAAAGCTTTTTGGACCTGGACTTTGTGGCCCTCGCTGTTGTGCCCTGGGGCAGCTCGCTTAGCACTTTGTAGCCCTGGTTTCCTTGGCTCTGAGATAATCCAGTTGGGTTAGGATGCAGATCAGTGGTTCTCAGCCAGGGTGGTCTTGCACCCCCCGTTAGGTATGAACACCTGAGAGGTGCGTGTGCACACGTGTGGGGGCCTTGTGCGCGTGCTGTTGGCACCTTACGGTAGAGGCCAGGGATGCTGCTGAAGGTCCTACAGTGCACAGGACAGTTCCCAACAATGAATTAGCTGTCCCAGAGGGTCATCAGTGCCACAGTGGAAAGCCTCATCTGGATGTGCTTGAGTCCTCTGCGGTGTATAAAAAACAAAGCAAAAACACAAGCCACCATCTTTTGCTTGCCTTTGCATAAACATTGATTGATTACCTGACAACTGCTGATTTTATGCAAGAAAGAAGTGGAATTCGAATTATCATTGGCTAACATGTAACTGGAAGTAAACATACGTAGGAAATTATTTTCTATTTAAAAGGAAATAACAAAGAGCCTAAAACTCTTCACTTAACTCCACACCGAGCTTTACTGAAACAAATGTTTGACTATCCAAACTGGTCACCTGCCTTTAACTCTCCCTGGATAAAGTCGGGGAACAGGGAGGAATGATGATCATTTGTATGTTTTGGAACACTTCCTACAAACCTTGTGCTTTCTATACATTATGCCAGTCTTTACAAACTGTTCTCATTTTATGAACGAGCAGTCTGAGTTCAGAGGGCTCAGCGTCTTCCCAGGATGCTCCGTGGAACTTCGCTTGTTCCAAGAACACAGGACTGTGTTCGGTAGGCCGCTCTGCTTGGAGGCAGCCACATGTCCTCAGTGGGTCTGGCACGCTGACCGACTGTCTTCAGGATTTCAAGAAATCGCTCAAAGATGGTTGCTTAGCTCTGTTGACAAACAACAGATTTCAAACAGTATCTCAAGAGAGTTTTTGCTTTTTTACTGCGCTCCCTTGGGCTTTTGAGTTTATGATTTAAGGCTAGTTCAAAAAAGGTATTTTATAATCTGATCAGGTTCAAAAGTGATTTTAAAGTCATATGTCGAGAAGGCTGTTCTGATCAGAAATAAAAATGGAGCACTGCGCTTCTCGTGCAGACGTTGGCCACGTGACTGCCACCAGTCCTGAGAAGGACATGTGTGTCCCCATAGGCTGGCCCAGTGCTGTGCCTTGTAGCTTTCAACAAGCATAGAGGGAGGAGGCGTAAACACATTGGTGTCAGGAAGCAAGACTGTATGAATTTAGTAACACTCATGTCTCATCTGCCTTTCTCACCTCTGTTGTTGAGCGTGGGCCACAAACCCCCTTCCTTTACCTGCCCCAGAGTCATTTTCTAAAATAGAGCCTAGTGGGGGCCTCTGGGTGGCTCAGTCAGTTAAGTGTCCGACTTCGGCTCAGGTCATGATCTCACGGTCTGTGAGTTCGAGCCCCATGTCAGGCTTGGTGCTGATAGCTCAGAGCCTGGAGCCTCTTCGGATTCTGTGTCTCCCTGTCTATCTGCTCTTCCCCCATTCACGCTCAGTCTCTCTCTCTCTCTCAAAAATGAATAAACATTAAAAACAAAAGTTAAAAAAAAAAAAACAGAGCCTAGTGATGCCACTTCTCTGCTCAGAACTCTGCGGTGTTTTCACATTATCCACTTTGATGTTTGTGAAGGGAAGTTGCAGAGCCTGGGAGAGATGAGGGAGGCCTTCATGGGCTCTAGAATCTTAGGGAAATTGGGGTAAAAGCACAGGTAAGCAGGTGTCTACTCCGGCAGGACTAGCTGAAGATTTTAACATGCTAATGTGGATTGTGAGAGGAGATGTCCTAACCTTTTCCAGATTTGTTTGCTTATGAAATTGCCACTGACTCCCTTCCTCAATCCAACATAAGCCTCCACTT